ACAAAAAAAAAAAAAAAAAAAAAAAAAAAAAAAAAAAAAAAAAAAAAAAAAGCAAAAACAGACATTATTATTATTTTTTCTTTCTTTCTTTTTTTTCTCAGATACTTCTCAACCTTCCTCATCTTTAACCAGCTTTTCAATATCGGTCGTGTTGTCCATCCTGTGGTGTTTTGTTTTTTTACTGGTATTCAGTATCTGCTTGTTTTTATTGAAAATCCCGAAGAACAAAAAGTAAGTCATATCTTCCTATGTATTTTTACTTAGATAAATGTAGTTTAATTAACTAAATGTAACGTTTCAATGCTACAGATTTCAATATTACAAATTTAAAAATGGTTCCTGCTTCAATTTCACAGGCAAAAATCACAACTGAAAACTCAAGGAGATGAGGTAAAATATTTTCATATTCTCTACATTATCGCTGTAGCAAATGCAACGGACAGCAGTGCATTGATATGTAGACAGACAAGCAGTCAGATTGATTATTTATTATTCATTGGTTATTGTTTGTTTCTGAAAGGTCACAGATGCAGATGTTTCTTTAAATGAGGAATGAATTTTGAGAACTTAGACTTTTCTCAGTTTTGCTGTCAAACCTCAAACCTCTATTTAGTATCCATTTATGCCAAGGGTCATTTTAGCTCTGTCTTTATTTTCAGGTCTCTGAAACGATGAAGAAACAAGAAAAAAATAAAAGTTACAAAGAGAGGGTAAACTCAGTGTACTATGAGTGGTTTACGGATCACTCACCACAGAGGAATCCAGGCAATTCAGATTGTACAGTACAGTGCACATTGTAAACTACTGGACTACTCTTTAAAAAGAGAGAGAGAGAGAGCTTTGTTCTTGTTTCAGTAATAGGAAATGTCTTAAAAACGTATTACAGTGAGTTATAAGTGCAAACACCTTTTGTTTTCCATTGATCATGATAATCCATAAGAGGGCGCTGTTGCACTTAATCACTAATGAGGTGAGATTCATAAACAACAAATATTAAAGAGATAGTTCACCCCAAAAATGAAAATTCAAGTATCATTCCTAACCTGTAGGACTTTTTTCTTCTGTGGATTTTTCTTCTTTTTTTTTATTTTTATGTCCATCCAGTGGAAGTCAATGGTAACCAAAACTTCTGGTAACCAATATTTTTCAAAAAGCCTTTTTCCCCCATACAGGTTTGGAACAACATGGGGTTGAGTAAATGATGACAGAATTCTCACATTTTTGGTTGAACTATTCCTATAAATACTTGACAGACTGAAGCAGTTTATGTACATTAAAATATAAATTTAATCCAAAATTATTAGACCTACTGAAAAGTTCATTTTTTTTTATAATATAGGACAATACAAAATAATTTATTTATATAATAAATACCAAAAATACCAAAACTTTCTGTTTTTCCTACTTTGAATCCTGGATTTTGTGACCTTGCATCATGCAGTATATTGATGTTTGTTTATAACTTTTAATGAAAGACAAAGTTACTCACAGGTATATGCAAATTCTGTTTTTATTCCATTCATTATACTTATAATTTAACCTGTTTTTTAAGAATTTGAAGGGGTTGGAAATTGTAATCCATATAAATTATGCCAATAAAGTTTTATTGACTCGGACTAAGAATAGCCCCTCTTTGTGTACCTACTTTTTTGGGACAAACTTATACCCAGAATTGAACTAGATCTGACAAACCTACTAAGTAAATAGAGTTTCTTCTTCTTCTATTTAAATCATATCATATGACCCCTTTAATGTCAGTTTAAAGTATTTATTACTCAGTCTATGGAATGTCCCCATTTAGATAGCTAAGTAAGCGTGTGTGTGTGTTTGGAGGTGGGGGTGTGGGGGAGGGTGAATCACTGGATCTCTCCAGAACTCTGTAATGTTATTCTTTAGTTCTCTCTGTCCGTGCAGCAGCTCCTCTCATCTCTCCTTTCTCCTCTCATCTCCTGATGATGGTAAGTCAACATGCTTTATGAGACAGACCTTATATGCGCACTGATAAATCGGATATTTTTGTACTTATATTTTTGCGTATTTATATTTATATCTTTTCTTTTGTACCTATATCTTTCTGCAGATTATTAGGACACTTTCTCTATTCACTGTCCTCTCCGCTGTCTGCTGTTACGCAGAGGTAAGACAGAAAGTGTAAAAAAAATAAACAAATTAAGTGCCCAATGTACTGCGTTAATATGAAGGAATTTTATGTTTTACCCATATTTTGAGTTATGCAACTCAAAATGTTTCACTCATATTTTGAGTGTTTTAGGGCTAAAGGAACTGTTCGTAAACTTAATGGACACTGTTCTGGCCGAAAATTATTAGAACCTTTTCTGTTCTTTTTCTACGGATTGTGTTCTCACTGTGATAGTTTCAACTTAATGTAACTTCAGAAGCCCTGTAGCATCTTTTTTAAGAGCGTAACCTCAGAATTGCAGGCGTCTGATGTGGGCTAGCCGTCTGGGCTTTAGCAGAAGAATGAACAGCTGTTGTTTGTCTTGGCAGGTAAAAGCAAAGTAATTGGTACGTGGAGTAATGGAAAGCCAAACAACAGCAGACATTACCACATGGGTGGGATAAGGGCATTTTAACACTAACACTGCACACTTCACACAGATGCACAAACACAGCCGTTCTGTCTTGTGTGTGTGCAGAACTCTTGTCTTGTGCAGTGTTCAGGTGCTGACACATAGTTAGACACGGCAGATGTGCTGGTCTTTTCATGTGTGCGCCTGGAGGCCTTTTTACATCTGCACATCATCAGGACGAACCACCTCATGCCTTTTCATTTGGAACCAAACAACAGGGCTCACACAATGGAGCTCCTGTGTTCAGTTAGAGCAGTCGTGTGGAGGGCATATTTTTAGAGATGACTTGATGATGGTGAGTTGGTTAAAGAATTAAAGATCGAACATTTTTATGAATGTGGTAAGCCTAAGAAACTAATGTGAAAAAACTACATACCAAGTAAAATTTGTTTGTTTGTTTGTTTATTTTGTTTTTGAATGAAGTCTCGTATGCTCACCAAGGCTGCCTTTATTTGATCAAAAATACAGTAAAAACAACAATATTGTAAAATATTTTTGCAATTTAAAAGAACTGTTTTCTATCTAAATATATTTTAAAATGTAGCTTATTCCTGTGATGCAAAGCTGAATTTTCAGCATCATTACTCCAGTCTTCAATGTCACATGATCCTTCAGAAATCATTCTAATGTGCTGATTTGCTGTTATTATCAATGCTGAAAACAGTTGTGCTGCTTAATATTTTTGTGGAAACTGTAATACGTTTTTAAGGTTTCTCTGATGGATACAAAGTTCAAAAGAATAGCATTTATTTTAAATAGAAATTGTTTGTAGTATTGTTAATGCGTTTACTGTCACTTTTGACAAATTTCATGCATCGTTGCTGAATTAAAAGATTCATTTCTTTCACAAACCCCTAACTTTTGAACAGTAGTGTATGTTTTGTACAATTTAGTCAATTTTTCCATCTGTGTAGATTTTACATTGGTGCTTAAAAAAATTCGCTGTTTCCACTATGCAGGTTTAACAAAAGTTAGGGAGGAGCATGTTTATATCATCATAATAAAGGTAAGGTGAGTTCAAGTTAATTGGGCAACTTGAAAGTCATACCAATATTAAAAAGTGGTCTAATTGAGCTCACCCTGTATGAACAACAGATGTTTAGTAGCCTATACTTCATTTGCCAATTCTTCCAACATCAAAAACACATTCAAACCGGTATTCTTTATTTTTGCATGCTTAGGCTGATCTGAGCACGGACAAACATCAGGCAGACAGAACTTTGAGATCTAGGTCCCCTGAGGTAGAGAGCTTTAAATGCTTTGCTCAAACTAGATATTGCAGGATGCTATCAGATCATTTGCATTCTGCCACTGCAGGGTACTAAACTAATGGGCTTCTGGTTGGTGGCCCATGAGTATAAATAAAAAGCTTATTTCTTCTTTCTGTAGAGAATTTAACCAGTGGTGTCTGTGCAAAAGGATGTTGTGGGCAGTTGCTAAGGTGCTGTTATGCAGTTGCCAAATGGGTTTTGTGAGTTGTTATGTGGTAAGACAAGACATTCTGGTCCCTAGAAGCCCACTTATGGACCATTTTTACATTTCCGAGGTTCTCAGAAGCGTAAGTCGTCATAGTTGTCACCAGGGGCGGATCTAGAAAATAATTTTTAGTGTGGCAAAGGGGTGACATGGGGTCTATGAGGGGTGGTGACACCAAAGCAAGCCCCCATGCATACACTCAGAAGACATGCGGTTCTATTAAAATAACATAGGCTACTTAGATGGTTATAATCACGTTTAATGCAAGTTTAAGAGCAACACGTGTTGTGTTTTGCAAAAAGTGTTTTATGAAACTGAAAACTGAGTCAAAGGCCGAGCATTATGGTTTTGCAGATTTGGTGTGTAGTTCTGGTGTTTGAGGGTCAGCTTTCAGAAATTGTGTGACAAGTAAAGATTTTGTGTGTAAGCAGTTGAAGAAACTGTAAATGCTTACACACAATTCAAATACACAGATGACTTTCCTGCCCAGTTGAACACTGAGATCAATAACACGATACATTATAATTCAACAATGAACTTTTGGGGGAAAAAATCATTTTAATTTTACTACTGTAAAGTAATCTTGCAGTAGATGAAAAGCACTAGAAAAGTTCAAATACCAAAGAATTGTATGAACTTGGCATGCACCACAATACAGTAGCCTACAGTAAATAAATACTTAATTTAGCATCCTCTGCAAATTTGGCCAAATTATACAGTACTATAGCAGTTTCTTGGTCTCCTGACACAAGACTAGCTATATCTCTAGGCAGTCATTTCTCAGTTCTGCAAAAATGCAGTACACATAAAAATGGTTACAAATAAAATTTGACAGTCACACGCTTGAAGGTGTACAACATGTGCTACAGTTTACTGTACATGTAGAATAGTGAAATTTCCATTATCTAATGCACTGGTACTGTACTGTAATTATACTGTATGTGTAAGTATAAAACCCCTGTAGATGATTGGCTCAGCTCTCTCCTCTCTCCGTTGTTAGCATGCAGAGATTCTGATTGGTGTGTCATCAGTTTTGCTACCTAATGTTTAACTTACTCATTGTTAAACTTTTTGAGAAATGTGTCTTTGTTTTGAAAACTGAATTAATGGTTTGGG